CGCCCGAGACGCGCCGGTGAGCGCAGCGGGCGCCCAGGAGGAGCCGCCGGGCCCCTACCCCCTCCTCCTCCTCACGGAGCTCATGCTGGCGAGCGGGGGCAGTGGGGAGAGCCCGGTGGCCTAGGCGGCCAGGCCGGCGGCCGGCTCGGGAGGGCGGGAAGCCGGGAGCGCCCGCCTGCGGCAGAAGCTGGGGCTGAAACCCTGGGAGCGCGAGTGGTGGAGACCACGCGTGTCCAGGGAGCCAGGAGACGGCCGACCGCTGTCCTCGCTCACGCGGTCCGGAGTCACGTTCTCTAACCACAAGTCATTTCAACTTTCTCGGAGGTTTGAGGGGAAAAAACACAACCACCAAAGTCTCTCGGATTAGTGAGGAAGAATTTGCACCGTCACCGAGAATTGTGACGGGAGCGACAGTGAACTGCGCAGGCGCCTGGCGCCGCTGCAGCCTCTCGGGAAGTCTTGGCGCCTTAGCTGCGTGCAGAGCGGGGCCACCCGGCGGGTGCGTGCAGGGGTGTTGTTGGTGTTCACGCGGCCCGACAGAGCCGCCCACGCCCAAACAAGCGAAGGAGCAGGCGAGGAGGAGATGAAACCAGAAGGTGACAAGTGGCTGTCGTAGTTTCTGCTTTCGGTTTTTCCGAGCCAAGAGTAAGCCACATTTAGGGGCGTCTTCGCCCCCGCTTCGTTGAGGGTCACCTTGTTGAGCGTCACAGCAGCCGTCGCCCACCTCTTCCTGCTGACTCTGGCCTCAGCCTCCCTCAAGATCGAGAAGGCCCGTCCTTCCCAGTGGGTGGCCGGGTCCGGACCTTCAGGGCTGGGGCGGGCTTCCTCACCAGTGGGAGAGGGTCGGAGGACTCCCTGCCCCCATGCCCTGCGCTGGCGAGTCTGATGCCGAGCCGCGTCAGCCGTTTGAAGCCACGGCGGAAGCTGAGAAGTGCGGGCAGCGGCCCCCGCCTGACCGCACCGGCCAGAAGGCCAGCGCCGGCGTGTCCGGCCGCGCCGGGAAGAAGCGCCGGCGTGGCCCAGCTCCTGCTTGCTGGGAGTTGGCGAACTTGCAGCCAAAGAAGCACCCAGATGATACAAACATCAAGGTTTGTTTTGCTGTTTGGTCAGTGGGGTCTAAAAATGCCTCCATTTTTCAATTTGCCGTCTTTGGCGGCTACACACCAGGTTCATTTTCGTACGTGTCCCGTAACATCGCGAGAGAGTAGGGCACAAGATTCTGGTTAAGCCAGCGGAGAATAATGAGGAGACTGTGTTCTCACGTAACCTGCCGTACTGGAGCAGGAAAGCCGGTTTTCTAAAAACGAGTGGTTTTGCAGAGATTCTTACTGATTATGTTGTTCGTCTACAAGGACGTATAGCCTCACCTCTGTTTCTGAACCAACCTCTGTCCGCGCACAGCAGCCAGGCGGCCTAGTGTGGGCGGCCCAGGGAGACGCGCCTGCAGCCCGTTCATAAATGAAGCTGTGTGGGGCGCGTCCTTGGTGACTATTGAAACAGTCTCCCTGTCTGCTGTTGCACTAACAACAGCTGAGTGACCACCGTCTGTGGCCTGAAAACCGTTTGCTTCCTGGCCCGTAAGGCAAAATTTTGCCATCCCTGACCCAGTGTGAGCCTGTCGTTTATGTCCATGCTGTGTAATTCAAGTGGTGCTGATGTATCTTTGCTTATTTGATCCATTTATTTTCAACCCATCCCTTTTTGGGTTTTCTTATGTTTTGGTTTTTTCGGGTTTATTTATTTATGCGTATAAGAACTGGTAGTACATGTTCCAGTGAGGAATACCCAGTGGTGAGAGCGCTCCCCCGAGACACAGCGGGGAGCAGAACAGGCAGACCCACTGCCCCACTGCTGTGAGAGATTGGAGGGGCGGTGGCTGCTGTGTTCTGTGGGTCACTTCCTGCGGGGATCGAGCTTGTGCTGCCGTGGCTGCTGGTAGCTTCTTAGTGCCGCGCTTTAACCCTTTACGCCACCGGGGAGGGCCCCCTAATTACCCTATTTGAAGCATGCACTACAGGTCTTTTGAGTGCCTATCAGGAGAAAATGAAGTTTTTTCTACAATCGTGTGAATCAGTATTTTCATGTAAAACCTCAGGTGGGTGGGGGGTTCGCGTATGTTAGAGGCATCGGCCCTCTGCGCCACACCCACCCTCCGTGATGCCGCCATATTGCCTGAACACTGCAAACATCTCGTTTTGCCGGTGACGAGACCACCTGTTTGCTGTAGTCACACTCCACGCGCTCAGTGGCCGCTGTGGCATGAAAGCCAGCACCGAGGACATTGAGAGGGCCCAGACGCAGGAAGGGACGCGAGTGAAGCCACCG